GGGGGGGGGGGGTTGCCAGAGAGGGGGCTCCTCGCCCTTTCACTCTATTTCTGATGTTGGGCATAGCTGTTGTTAACATTTCTTTGTGGGTTTTGCAATAACCTCTTGGCTGTGACCTTATATGGGGACATTGGCCCGAGCCCCCCACCACCCAGTCGTTATTGGGAAGTGGGTGAGGGTTCCTGGCTTTCTGCCATCTCTGCCCTTGCCTGGGGTAGGCTGCTGCTGCCAGGACTGGTCCTCACTGCATGGATCCCCAGGCCCTGTCTACAGGGATTAGTGACTTCCCTTAGCACTGAGATGGCTCTGAGTGGAGGGCCTGGTGGGTGCTCAGTAAGACTGTGCCCCTCTCTCACTCAGAATGGCCCAGGCAGTGTCCTAGGGAGTGTCCCCGGGAGCTAGGCCCAGGTGAGGCCCTTCCACCAGCATTCTTCCAAGCGGAGTGTCCTCTGGGGCGGGCAGGACAGGGCAGGGCCTGTTTCCAGAAAACTGTAGTTCCTCCCAGTTGGACCTCCCACCCCAGGGCAGGAGTGCCCTAGGCTATATGCAACTTTGCTGGCCTGGCCTGAGATTAAGGGCCCGGGACCTTGCAGGGAGCAGGTTCCCAGCCTCAGTCTCCATCCTGGACCTGCTGGGGCTGGGCCTGGAGGTGCAGGAGGAGTGGTGCTGGGTTCAGGGTGATGCCCAGAGCCAGGCCAGGGGCTGGCATGTCTGGTTGTGAGGCACCAGGGGGCCCTGAGATATAGGCAGGGAGCTGGGCCCAGAACTGGTTTCCAGCAAGAGTGACAGCAGATCCTGGAGGTGACCCTTCCCCTCCCCCACTCTGTGTTATCAGGTGGCCTCTTTATAAGCGGCTTCCTTCTTTTCAGAGGCTCCACTGGCTCTTTCAGGAGCAGCCTGGACTTCAAAACTGCTTCCCTGGGGTCAAGTCAGAAGTTTCTGACGCAGCGGTTGGGCCTGGCAGGCTGGCCCTCCAGCGCCACCCTGCGGGGCCTTGGCCTCTGCTGGCCTGGGTGTGTTCTTTTTAGCCCAGGGCCTGGCTTGAGCCCCTAGCCTCACCCGAGATTCTGTTCAACTAGGGTGTCTTCCTTGGGACCCTAGAGGGGCTGATGGTGGTTGGTGGGAGCTCCCTGCCCCCTCCATCTCCAGGGTCGCCCTCAGACTCAGGCTCTGCAAAGGGGCCACTCCGGGACATAAGAGCAGGTGCTGTTTTCACCAGGGAGAAGGTGGGACCCCACAGGGGTGGCTCACAGTGATGACTCCTCAGTGATGGCTGGGGGGGGCGGTGATTGTGAAAGTGCTTGGGAGGGATGTGGCTCTAGAGGCTGAGAAATGCAGACAATGGGGACGTGCTGTTGCTGTAGGCGTCTGGTTCAGGGCTTGGGAGGATGGCGGTGGAGGTGTGGGAGGGGCTGAGCAACAGGCTCCCTACCCCCGCATTTGGCCCCTCCTGGGGCCAGACAGGCCAGGTCTGCCCAGTTTGTCCTGGGACCCCTGAGCACCCTGGGTGCCTGGCTCTCTCCAGTCCCGCCCTGACTTTGGAAGGCCTCTCCCTGCTGTGCTCCATGCCAGCCTCCACTTCCATCTCCTGAGCTCCCACTGTGTGCCACAGATGCCTCAGCCTTGGGGGTGGATTATTGTATGTTCCGTTTGGCAGATGAAGCAACTTGAAAATAAGGCCTCCGGGAGGTAGGAGGGGGTTGTTGTCCGGGTCCCAGAGCTAGGACATGGCAGAACCAGGATGCAGACTCACCAAGAGTGACTCCAGAAGGTATGCTTTCCCTTCTTCCTCCGTGCCCTTCCAGCACTAGGGGCTGGGGGCAGCGCTGTGAGGCTGGAGACCAGGCTTTGGGGAAGCCCTGAGCAATGAGGGGGTGGGGGACGGCGTCCCTGCTCTGCCCCTCCCCTACTTTCCATCTTTCCTCTGAGCAATGGCTCCTTTCTGTGAGCCTCTGGGTGGGCACCCAAGGGGGCCTTTGCTGTTTAGACTTGAGTTCTGAGTATACAGGCAACAATGATGGAAACAGAAGAGCAGAGGCTGACACTGTTCTGACTGGGCTTGGGGGGCTGAGACCAAGGACCCCCTTGGGCTGGTGGTGCCCTGCGTACCACGCTGCTTTCCTTGCCCTGGGAGACAGATGTCCTTATCGCACCCATTGGACAGAAGAAGAAAATCAAGTCCAGGGAAGCTGTTTGTGTTAGGACTGGGTTCTGCTACAGGATCAGGAAACCCTAATAACACCTGCTTAACCAGAGTTGACTTTTTCATGCATCATAGTAGACCCCAGCTGGGTGGCCTGAGTCCACAGAAAGCTTCCAGCTCCTCTGTCCTGTGGCCTCACTATTCTCAGGGTCCAGCAGGCCACCATTGTGGCAGGACCTCTAGGGATTGGACCACATGCTTCTGCATCCATCCTGTGGCCAGGACCTAGGCAGCATGGCTCTTAGCTGCAAGAGAGGCGGAGCAGTGAAGCATTCGGTCTGTGTAGGCCATGGCCACGCAAAACATGGAGGAGGGGAGAATGGGCCACACAGGCCGGGCGATTTGTCAATGCTGGTCCAGGTTTGAACCCAGAATGGCCAGTCTCTTAGCCAACTCTGCTAAGTGGCTTCGCTGGGGCCTCCCCATTCCCTGAGCAGATCTGGGGCTCTCTGTGCTGCCCTCCTTGGGAGGGCTGCCCCCCAGTTAGTGCCGCCACATCCTTGGCTCTGGGGTCTGGCTGAGGGCTGGCACACCTTGGCCAGAATAGCTGCCCAGATCTCCTGGGGCCACCCATCCTGAATCCAGGGGCTACGGGCAAAGGTTAGCAGGTAGCCTGGCCTTGAACTGCAGTCCCAGCTACCTGGAGCTGGGGCCACCTAGGGGAGGAGTGGGCTGGCCGAGGGGAGGGATCTACTTTCATTTACTTTGGATTCTTTCCTGCCCATGTCGTTGTCATCACAGCGCTGTTTATGGAAGCTCCCAGGGTGCCCACAGGTTTCATGGAGCTCAGTCCCTCTACACACTTCCCATTTCACTGGCAAGTGGAAGTTTAGAGAGTTCAAGTGCATTCCCTAAGGTCACAGCTGGTGAGAAGGGAGTCAGGATCCAAATATGCGTCTGACCTAGAGCTTGAGAGGGGCCCAGGTGTCCTTGGGCTGAGCACAGATGGTCCAAGAAGGTTGGCTGCTGGGATCCCAACCTGAGCTCCCATGGGCCCTTGAAGAGTCTGTGCTGTTCACAGCACCTGTCAGAGGTTCAGTGGTAGACTCCTGAAAAAGACCCAAGAAGGGCCAGAATGTCCCCTCTGTTCGAGGAGCTGGCTACTCCTGCAGGCAGTAGGAAAGGGCCTTCTCTGGGGGGCCACCGCCTTGCCTGGAAAGCTCACTCCAGTCACCCTTCAGGAAGCCATCAGCAGTGCTTCTAGAACACTGTGCTGGGCACCCAACCTATCCTCTGGACACTTGGGCTTCAGGCTACCTTGGCTTCACCCCTTCAGTGGCCTCCCCTAGGGACACAGTGTTGTTAAGTTGGGGGCTGAAGAATGTGGGACAGCCACCAGAGCTGTGTGACCATGTCCAGGGCCAGCACTGCTGACACCTGCCCCAAGCTTTGGGGCAATGGAGGGCTGCAACTCAGGAAAAGACCTGGGCTGGGCTGGGATAGCCTGGAGATGACAGTTGCTTTGAGGTTCCAGCTAGGAGAGAGACCGCCACTTCCCGCTTTGCCAGCTTTGCTGACAGGTTGAGTAGAGGTAATAGAGCCCCAGGGGGCTCAGAAGGAGTTTCTGGAGTCTTGCACTTCTGAACCCTTGCAATTCCTGAGCCTCTACCCCACTCCCAGGTTAAGAGGTAGGTTCTGGCCCCTCCTGGCTTCCCTGCTGTGTGACCTTGGTCAAGTCACTTAACTCTGCTGAGTCTTAACTTCCTCATCTGCAGGGTGGGTATAATGAATGTATGGACCTTGTGGGGTTATTGTCAGCAAAATGATGGTTCTTGTGGAGCTCTTAGTGCACAGTAGGTGTTCAGCAGATGTCAGCCATAGGGGCTGATCCTACCACCTGGCTTTCTCTGCCTGGTGTCCAGTGCCTGGTGGCACATGGTGGGCACTCGAAAATGTCTGCTGATAGCAGGGTCCTCTGCAGAGCTCAGTTTGCTTCCTGTCTTCGAGGAAACACTATTAAAATGATAATACATACTTCCCCACCACATTTACAGAAAACCTTGAAAACGGATGGGACATTGGGAGAAGGAGACATGGGCCCCCACCTGTATGTGGCCTGTGGAGAATGGCTTGTCCCAAGGACACCTGTGGCCTTTCCCACTCCCAGAATGCACCTTGCTTTCAAAGCTCACTGCAGTCACCCCGTGGTGGTTTTTAGTTTGTGAGAGTGTAATTATTTGTAGAAGTGTCAGGAACATGCTGCCGTGGGAGCCCCATCTCCTGCAGCCCCTGGGGCAGCCCCACTGTCTGTGTCCCTCCTGAGCCTTTGGTCCTGGCAGCACCTCCTGGCCCTGGCTGGGGCGGAGAGGCGGGGAACAGGCGAGAGGACCCTGCTCTGCCCTTGCCGATGGAGGTTGATAAACAAGTACCTTTCCTAGTTCAAAACTTAAATTAGACGTGAAAAGAAATACAAAAGGAAAACAGAGAAAGCCATGGAGAGGATGGTGGGCTGGCTGCAGCACAACACGAATGTACCGAATGTCGCCGAACTGGATCCTGAAAACTGGTGAACAAAATCTTACGTTAAGTGTACAGTGGTGCCTCAGTTTTCAAATGTCCGTTGGCGAACATTTCGGGTCATGAACACCCTAAACCCGGGAGTAAGCGCTTCGGTTCTCAAACTCGCCTCGGAAGCCGAACATGTCACGTGGCTTCCGCTGAGCGCAAGGTCCTGCGGCCCGGCTGTCGGCTGTGGATCCCTCGGTTTTCCAACGTTTCAGAACTCGAACGGTCTTCCGGAACGGATCACATTTGGAAACCGAGGTACCACTATATTATACAAGTTTAAAAACAAAAAGGCAGCCGGCAAATCCCACTAGCAGGGGCACCACTGTCCGATCCCCGCTTGGCCTGAGGGTTTCCCTGTGCAGCTGGAAGGGAGAGCAGGCGGTCCTAATTGCCATCGGGAGCCATAGAAGCAGAAGGCAGGCCCCCCCCTCCCCACTGCAAATAAACGCAGCTCTGTGCTGTCACTTTCCTGCTGCAGCAGGCTGTGAAGTGGACCCTAGTTTATCCCACCTCTCCCTCCTGGGACAGGTGTCTCCAGATTTTCCTAATTCAGATCACACTTGGATGTCCCTGCCCGCCCATGACAACCTTCCTCCGAGCAAAGGGACTATTTATTATTGATTTGAGAGTCATTGATCGGCTGCCTCCTGCACGCCCCCTGCTGGGGATCGAGCCCACAACCCGGGCATGTGCCCGGACCTGGAATCGAACCACGATCTCCTGGTTCACTGAGCCACGCGGCTGGTCCAAAGGAATGACTTCAGGGCATTTGCAGGATGCTGCCAACCTGCTCTCCATGGGCATCTGTGGCTGACTCCCGCTTCTGCCAGCATCCCTGGAGGCCGTTTCCTAATGCCTCCTGTTACAGCTGTTTATCTGCGCCGATCTGGAGGGTGAAGAAAGGCACCCTTGTTTTGATCGGCATTTGTTCACTTGTGAGTGAGGTAGGACTCTTCCCATGTTTGTTGGACATTTGCGTTTTTTCTTTTTGTAAATTGCCTGCTCGTCGTGTTCTGTCCTTGTTCCCTTCAGTCCTCACAGGGACCCGAGAAACTGCCTTTTGCAGGTGAGAAAACAGGCTCCAGAGGTGAACAAGCCAGGCAGTTCTCCCAGCGACTATCTAGGGCCTGCAGCCTGGCCCAGCCCCTGATCGGGGGGGACAAATGGGCAGGTCCGGCCCAAGCCGGCTGAGGCTGGTGGCCCCGAGGAGAAAGACCCCGGCTGATCTAACCCAGAGCAGCCCAGGGCCGACCACTGTGCCTTCCTGAGACTTAGTTGCCCCATCTGCAACATCAGGCAATGAGAATTGCTTGCTCTCCCCACGGGAGTTAGGTTCTGTGAGAGGTACAGCTAGTTAAGAGTCTGTCTGTCAGACACAGAAGGACAAATCCTGTTCGCCCCGCTCTGATGAGGTCCCCAGAGGAGTCAAATCCGGAGACAGAAAGTAGATGGTGGTTGCCAGGGCTGGGGTAGGGGTGGGGATTGAGTGTTTAATGGGGACAGAGTGTCAGTTTGGGAAGATGGAAAGTCCTGGAGGTGATGGTGGTGGCTGCAATGTGAATGTACCTAATGCCACTGAGCTGTGCACTTAGACATGGTGGAGACGGTCAATGTTAGATGTGTTTTACTACAATTAAAACCCGAGCCTGGCTTTGGGGCAAAGGGCCCTGCTGTGTAAGAGCTAGCTCTCAATAACCTCTTGCAGAGAGTGGGAAATCCCTCCTACCCTCAGGGCGGCTGACCTGGGGGCTGGGGGGGCATGGTCACAGGAATCATCTGGGAGAATGGGACAGGAACCCTTGGGTCAATGGGTGGCATATTCCTAGCACCCTGCCATCCACAGGGGATGGGAAGGACCCGGGGACCCTGCAGGGAGCCACAGAGCAGTGAGCTCATGCCTTGGCTCTGTCACACCGAGGGCTGGCCCCTAAAGGACACCTGTCCTGTCCCAGGTACGAGCAAAGCGGCCCTGCAGAGCAGGGGGCTGAGGCCGCCCTTCCTCCCTGCGTTCTTTGCAACCAGCCAGCCACCTGCAGACACAGTTCCTATGGGCAGTTAGAGCGCAGAGAACACAGGTGCCCCCTGCATATACCCATTCACGGCATCCATTGAGTACTGCTCAGACGAGCCCCCTCAAGTTCCCGGGTGTCCCAGGGCAGCCTCCTGCAGGACGGGGCCTGGAGGGGCCATGGGCTTCCAAGTCAGGAGTCCCAGGCCCACGTGCATCCTGACTCCACAGCTTTCTTTCCCTGTGACTGTGGGCGAGTCCTTTGACTTTCCCAGGCCTGCGTCTTCCTCTGTGAAAAGGAGACCTGGCCCTCCTCTGCAGGCTGGGGGTGAGGAGTGAGGGGGTGTGGCCTGGGTGTGCCTGGCCACGTGGGTGCCCTCAGTGCTGGGTCTCCGATCATTTCAGTTTCAGAAGCAACTTTAGCTCCTTGCACAGGTCTCCACTAGATACCAATGCTTACTTCCTGGTGTGGCGCTACCTTGAAGGGACAGTCACTTCCTGACTGGGTCTCCTCCCCTAGAGTATGTGGGTGGGGGGCCCAGCCTCTGTAGGGGTGCAGGGACCTCTCTTCCAGGTTGGGTCCTTCAGTGGCTGACATGGGTGAAAACCAGACCCAGCCTGTCCCTCTGGCTCTCGGCCTCCGCCCCCCTTCCAGCTGGGTCCTCATTTGGCTGAGCAAGCAGGGGGGTGTGGGCTGAGGGCCAGGTGGCACAGTCAGGCCCCTGGAATGCAGACAGGGAAGCAGGCGCCCTCCCCTTTGCTGGGCATCTGCCCCCAGGGGCTTGGCTCCCTTCTGTCTGGCTGCTGTCGTGGGAGGCAGGGCAGCCCTCATGGTCTCCTTGAGGGACAGGACCTGAAGGCTCTGGAGGGGAAGGCGAGTTAGGATCACATGGCCAGCCCACAAAAGAGTGAGTAGGGGTCTTGTCTCTGCTGTATCTCTGCACGACAACCCAGCGGGCCCTCTGCTCACTGGCACCGTCTCTCCTCTTAGCATCATCAGCTGGTTCGTCCGGTGCTTCAAGTACGCATACAACCTTCGCTTTGATGTAAAGGGACGCCAGAAGCTGGGGGTGGACCACCCCTGTGTCATCATCTCCAACCACCAGAGCATCCTGGACATGATGGGTAGGCTGGGGAGGTGGGGAGGCTGCTGCTTCAGGGAGGTGGAGGGGGGCCCAGATGAGCTGGCAGGTGAGGGGCTGACACAGGCCAGGGGACCTGTCCTCCAGCCACAGGCCTCGAACTGGGTAATGGGCGACAGAACTGTGTTTTTCATTGGTCCCTCCACTCACCGGTAGCTGGGAGCTCTGTCAGCACCCCCTTTTTAGGCAGGAAACAGACTCAGAGGCCAAATGACTTGCCCAGGTAGCCAGTGGGAAGGTGTGACTCTGCCCAAGCCTGTTGGTGGTCAGGGCACAGGCCGGCTCCCTCCTCCTCGGGGAAGTGGCCCCAGGCTCTGAACCAACCGTCCCCTTCCCCCCCACCCTGGTGACCACGGCGACAGGCCTCATGGAGATCCTCCCCAAGCGCTGCGTGCAGATCGCCAAGCGGGAGCTGCTGTTCATGGGGCCCGTGGGCTTGATCATGTACCTCGGGGGCGTCTTCTTCATCAACCGGCAGCGCGCCAGTACCGCCATGACCGTGATGGCCGAAGTGGGCGAGCGCATGACCAGGGACAATGTGAGTGCTGGGGCCTGGGACCCGCTTGGCACGCGAACCTTCATGCTCTGTCTTGGTGGGAAAGGGGGGGTGTCAGAGCAGCCCCACAGTGCGACCTCCTTTGGGCATAAAAATCACATCATCGGTGCATGTCTGCTAACTGTGCACAGAAAAGCGGGGCGCAGGGCCTCACTGTTGGCGACAGTGGTCTCCACCGAGAAATGGGCTCAGGAGGGGAGGGCGCGCGGCCTCCCCTGGGGCTCTGCTTTCCCCCACCCCACGCCCTTCTCACAGTTGGCTCCTTTCTCCCCTGCAGCTCAAAGTGTGGATCTACCCTGAGGGCACACGAAACGACAATGGGGATCTGCTGCCTTTCAAGAAAGGTGCCTTCTACCTGGCGGTCCAGGCCCAGGTGTGCAGGGGCCTCACCTTCTCACCTTCCTGGGGTGGTCGGGGGAGCCGGGAAGCTGGTCCAGGTCGGCTTCGGGCTGACGGTAACCACCAGGTTAGGCTGGAGCCTCTGGTGCTCAGGGACCACCTCCTACTGGGCAGGTGGCAGGGCCTCACGACCCCTCCAGCCGGGCCCTGACCTGCTGAGGAGGGTCCTTTGGGCCCCGTCACCCACTTTGAGTGTTGAGGCTGTGCCTGCTCAGGCTCAATGACCAGCTGGGACAACACTGGTGCCCGCTGTACCTGCGCCTGGAGCTCCCAGCTGGCCAGACGAGGGCCCCACAGAGTTGGGCTTTGTAGATGAGGCGGCGGCCGCAGGCCTGGTGGCCGAGCTTGCTCGCGGGAAGGCGGTGCTGAGTGCTCGTTCGCGCCCCCAGCATCTCTGGCTGGGGTGGATTTCGGGAGTGGGCAGTGGGCGTGGATGAACAGGACCTAAGGCGGGGGACCGGCTCAGGCCAGAGCTGGAGCTGGGCCTGGATGGAATGAGATTTGGGCTCTGCTGTGGGTGGGACCTTCTACTTTTCTGGTCCTTGAATTCCAAGGGTACGGTTTGTCTCAGAGGTGACCTGGGTCTGGGGGTGATGCCAGGAGAGGCTGGAGGTGTATACAGCTTCCAGCATCCAGAGGGCGGGGTCTCCTGGTGGGTGAAGGGCACCCTGACCCACCCCTGCCCTGTGCTGGGGGGATTCGTGTAGGGAAACCATAGTTGGAGTCAGGAGAGGGCTCTCACTCTGCCCCATTGGGGTCCGTCCAGGCGGGCATGGTGGCCTTTCTCCTGTCTTCCACCTGTGACAGGTGGCCTCTAGCGCCCCCTAGTTCTGGTCCTGAGCAAGTTCAGGTAAGCCTAGCCAAAGGCCTGAGCTAATGCACTGGGGATGCAGGAGCTGGCAGGCGGGTGGCGGAGCCCCCGCCTGGGGGCTGGAGCCTGGGCTCTGATCCCAGCCCTGTCCAAGCAAGGCCCTCCCACCTTCTGGACCTGTGGCCCCTCTAGCCAGGAGGTGGAGGGCACCCTGCCATGTGCCTGGGGCTAATGTCACTTCCCTTTGCTGGTGGCATGGGGGAGGGGTTGTGGGAGAGGAGATGGCAGTGGTGGGTAGCAGCAGCCTCAGCCAGGAGACTGGACATCATTTCCTGTCATCTCCCCTCCTCCCGCCTCCTCCCTTGCCCCCCACCCCACACCTACCTCCGTCTCCCCTCCAGGACCTGCTAGACTATAGCCTCCCTGGGTTCTCAGCCTGCCCCCCAGTCCTCTGCTGGTGCCCGGGGAGAGGCTCCTTAACCACAGAGTTAATGATTAGCCCCAGCACCGTCTCCAACATTGCAGTCATCATTGGACTTGACCCTGGTGTTTTCCAGGAATACAAGCAGGCCCTGCCCCCTCCCCTGGCTACTGCTGCCCCCAGCCTTCCCTGGATAGGGGAGAAATTGGGAAGAGAGGGTGGGTGGGAAGACCTCAGGAACTTTCTCCAGCTACACTGGACAGGGCCCTGCCCCCCTAGGTAATCTTAGGATCCAGTGGGGGACACAGATGTGAATCAGATGGACATGCCAACCTAGGAAGGCTTCCTGGAGGAGGCGATGCTTGAGTGAAGGTGTATGGGATGAGTTTATGGCACTCTGGGCCACCCAACCCATAAAGGATGCCCCAGGCCCAGGGGTTCAGCGTGTGGAAGGGCTAAGATAGGACAGGGTTCCTGTCTGGCAGCCATGGGTGTTGTGGGGAACCCCAAGGCGAGACAGGCAGGTGGTAAGGCAGGGCTGCCCAGGATTGGTGGTCTGGGGGTGAATGTGGTTATCCTCAGGATGCTCATGTCTCCCTGTGCACAGGTGCCCATCCTCCCCGTCGTGTATTCCAGCTTCTCTTCCTTCTACAACCCCAAGACGAAGCTCTTTACCTCAGGTAATGCCATGTGCACATGGTCTGTCTCGGCCTGTCACTGCGGTGCCCAGGCCCCTAACAGAATATATTTCCCCTTGCTGGTGGTTACTCTAGGCTAGACCCTTGCCCCAGAGTGACCATTCGGGGGAGGGAGGAAGGAGAGGAAGGAATGAATGAATCTAGAGTCTTGGCCAGGAGCTGAGAGGAATGGTAGTGGGCCATTTCCTAGGTAAGAAAACTGAGGCAGGCTCCCAGCAGCTGGGTCGGGTCCCAGAGTTCACACACATAGGTCCACGCTGCGCACACAGCTCGGGGTTTGACATGGGTGGCTCCTGTGCTGAGGGGGTGCATCCAGGCCCAACTCCCAGGGGCAGCAGCCTCCCAGGCACCCCCACACCCACAGGCGACAGAGCTCGGGGCCTCTGCCCTTCCTTCCAGACCCAGCACCTGGTACCCAGGCAGGAAGGTGGGGTCCAAGGTTGAAGGGCAGCAGGGGAGAAGCCAAGCCCTCCACCCATATTTGGGACCCCAATGGCAGTGGAATGAGGGCACATTCTGGGGGAAGAAGTGTCCTGTGCCTTGGGTGGTGCTTAGAGGGGAGGGCACACTTGTCCAAACCCTGAGTGTGCACTTAGGAGCTATGTGTGATTGTGTCAGTTATTGTCGGCTAAAAACCAACCACCTGAGACCAGGGGGCTCCGCAGGGAAGGTGGGTCATGGCCAAGGGGGAGGGGGAGAGAGTTCAGCTGGCACTGGGGTGAGGAGAGGCCACAGCGTGAGAGTCAGGGCAGCAGGCATGGGTGGGGCCCTTGGGCCCCCAGGATACTGATGCCTGCCCCCTTCCCCCAACAGGAACGATCAAGGTGGAGGTCCTGGATGCCATCCCCACCAGCGGCCTCACTGTGGATGACATCCCCAAGCTCATGGACACCTGCCACCAAGCCATGAGGACCACCTTCCTCCACTTGTCCAAAACCCACCAGGAGAATGGGGCCACTGCGGGGCCTAGTGCCCAGCCAGCCCAGTAGTCAAGGCCTGCGGTCAGGCAGGACCTAGAGGGGGACAAGGGGTAGGACCTGGCTAGAGAATGGACAGAGGGATCCCACCCAGCCCTGCCTTGGCTGCCAAACATCACTGTGTACCACTCCTGTGGCTCGACGACTTTCATTTGGGCTCCAGAAGCAAGGGGCCCCTTCCTGTCACTGGCCTCGGATCCAGGCTGCTGATGTCCCTGCAGTTAGCCGGAACCTCCCCAAACTCCGGGGGCAGGGCCCCCCATCCACCCTGTGCCTCCAGGATCTGGTGTAGGAGCAGGCCTGGGGCCCCGAACAAAGGGCCTGAGCAGACTCCCAGCCGCGGCCTGCATCAGGCTGTGGGAGGGGCGGGTTCTAGGAGCCAGGTCCATACCCCTGCGGCCTTGGGGAGTGAATACTGAATCAGTACTGCACGTGGTTGTTTTTTATAAATGAACTCTTGGAAGTGCCTGGTGAGCTGTGGTCACTCCGAGGGTGGGCAGGGCTGCCTCAGGGAAACAGGACAGCTCAGCCTGGGCAGCGCATGGAGGTCTTCTAGGCTGCCTGTGCCTCCTCCCTGGGGGCCAGAGAGGGAGCCCCCAATACCCCCCAACCCCTCAGGGGCTGGGACCGTAGTCATCCTATATTTCTTCCAACAGGTAGGGTTGAAAGAGGGCAGCCGTTGTGCCCGGAGGTCTGGCAGGCACTGGGGAAGGGGGCTGAAGATTTGCTCTTTGGGCACAGTTAGGGGTGGGGCCACGTTGTTACCAGGAGGAAGCTGTCTCTGGCCAGTGTCACTTCCCCAGAAACGGCCCCCTATAGCCCCTTTTGGAGGGGGGACCAAGACCCTACCTAGGGGAGCCCAGTACGGCTGGAGCCCCTTCCAGCCCTGTGGTTACACCCTTTTCTCCCACCAGCCAGCACATGGTGGTAGGCCTGAGGGAGGCCCGTCAGCTTCTGAGTGCTCCCTACAATCCATCCACAGACACAGCGCCTCTTCAAGTCTCATTTTATTCTGACAAAAGTCAGGGGTGGGTCTCGCCCAGCTAACACACTGCCCAGTCAGTGGTCCCAGCCCAGGCTCTGGGCTGGGAGCTGTCGTACCATCCCTTGGCAGGGGCCCACCAGGGTGCGGGGGCTGAATTCACGCAGGAGGACCCCTCAGCCCACCCGGCCCTGTTTCTTCGGTGAGGAGAGGTGGGGTAACCTCCCTGCCTTGGCTCACAGCCCCCTTCTGCCCTGCCCAATGGGGTGGGGGTACAGTGCAGAGCTCGGGGAGAAGACACGCCTGTCACAGCTCCTTCTTGCAGGAACCTATGGGTGGATGGGGGCTGAGGTCAGAGGTCACTGCTCCCACCGCCTGTCAGTTCAGCCAGATGTGCCCCCTCAGCCTTGTTGCCCAGCCCCACCCTCTGGCCTCTCTGGGCACTGACTGGCCCTAACTCAGGGCAGCTCAGGCTACTGGGGGGCATGGTTGGTGGGGAGGTCGGCATGGAGACCAGGCACTCACAGGACCCCAGCTGCTCCTCCAGGAAGGAGATCTGCTCACTCAGAGAGTCGATGCGGTCTAGCTGCTGGAAGGAGTGGGCCAGGAAGCTGCTGGGGTCGGGAAGCCCATGCTCCAGGGCCCGCGAGGCCAGGCTGTGCAGGGGGGCCAGCACCAGCTGCAGCTTCTGCAGGGCAGGCAGAGGCTGGTGGGTTTGGGCCTGGGTCACCCTCTGTCCCACAACGTTTTAAGGAAAACTATTGTGGCCAGCAAGGGCTCTGCCGACCCCTAGACACAGCTCTAGCTGCAGGGCCCTGGGTATCCACCAGAGGGAGTTGCTGGCCAGGAGAGCCAGAGGCTGGTAGGCACAGACAGGGCCAGCAGGGCCCATGGTCCCTGAGGACAAGCGTCTTGGGTCATCAGGCCAGTGGCCCACAGGGGCACTCTGTCCCCTCAGGGGGTGAGCTGGACCTGGGTTCAGGTTCTCTGTGTGGTGTGAGGGGACAGGGCTGAGCTCTCAGCCCCTCCTGCCATGGGGTCCCAGTCATCTCCCGCTGCCCCTGCCCAGCATGGAACCCAGGCCAGGGGCGCTCTGGGCTGAGTATCAGGGAAGCCTCCCCCAGGGACCCCTGCTGAACACCAGAGCCGACAGGAAACAGTGGGGGTGGGGGGGCGGGCCAAGGCCCCTGGTCCCCCGCCCAGGCCTCACCTGCTCCAGCACGTCCACCCTTGACCGTAGCCTCTGCACTTCCTCCTTCACCTCCCTGTCCACTCCTGGGGAGATGCGGGTGCTAAGTCAGGGGTCCTGGCCAGCACCCCACCCTCTGCCCAGGCGTGCTGAGCCCCTCCCCTCATCCTCGGCTCCCACTGTCCACCAGGGCTGGCCTGGAGGTGTGGGAGGTGGCCGTGCCCGCTCAGTACACCCTGGGTAGCAGCTCTGGGCACACACAGCCCCACCCTCGCTAGCCCCTTGGTACACGGTCCCTGTCGAGCTGAGGGGTGTCCCCGCCGTGTTGAGGGGTCCCCGCTGAGTTCCATGACGTGCTCTTGGTGCCGGGCTGCTGACGGCGCATTATTACTCACGGTACGAGTTTGAAGTGTCACAGCGCGTACCAAAAGTAATAATGTCCCGTCGCCAGCGGAGGTGCGGCGTCTCCAGGCTGCCGGGGCAGGGACACAGGACTCCCAGGGTGGGGCCTTCCTCCACTCTCTGGCTGAGATGAGGCCTCCCCCCCAGCAATCCTCCCCACAGAACCCAAGAGAAACGGCCACCCCCCCTTCTGCTGAGAAAAAGCCCATTTCTGCCCAGGTTGGGGCTGGCCCATAGCCCAGGGTGGCTGCCCTCTGGTGCCCCACATGCCCAGAACCCAGGCCCTGCCCCACCTGTCCCCCAGGTGCAGCAGCAAGGTGGGCAAGTGGGGAGTTTACCTCTGGGAGGGTCTGGGGCCACCCTGGGGGTCCCTCTCCTGGGCAGGCAGGGCGCCCCATTTGCAGACGGGCTGTGCCCCTCCCGACACTGGCACCAGTAACTACCCGCAGTGTTGACACAGAGCTGGGAGCAGCTGCCCCCTCCAGCACAGCATTCATCCATGTATGTGGGAAAAGGGGTGTCAGGAAGGGAGCAGTGAACCCCCTCAAGACGGACCTGTCAGAGGGCGTCTCGGGGAGGGCGGAACCCAGCCTTACCTGTCTGGCAGCTATCTCCCTGCCATCCCGCAGGGCAACGGCAGCGTCCTGGCTGGACACAGCTCCCTCCATTTTGGCATGGTGGCTGGCATATAGCTGTGGGTGGGGGAGGGCTGTCACCAACTCAGAAGGGTCCCCAGGGCCCTGCAGGAGTGAATGGCAGCCGGGAAAGCAGCAAAGAGGTGCTGGGCTCAGGTTTTGAGAGAAGCAGCAGGTGCTTCGCCCGGGTCTGGACAGCGGGATGGACTGTTGCCTAACCGGCCACTGTTTTTACTAACAAGTGGCGCCGCGGGGCCCTCACCTGCTCTGCAGGCCCTGGGGACCCCACCGGTCCTCTTCCAGCCGGGGCAGCAGGCATAGTGAGGCCTGGGGGGCGCCAGCCCAGGGCTCCGGCGGTAGGCCGTCTTGTAGATGGTCCTGTGTGGGAAGGGGCAGCTCAGCGGGGTCCGACCCTGACCGGGTGGCCTCACTGGGTGCCCCAAGGTCTCCTGGGCTCAGGTCAGGCTTTCCCTAGACATGCCCAGTGAGGTGCCCCTAACCTCCCCATCCACCTGCCTTCCTGGTCCTAAGCCCTCCACAAGCTACACAAACAGTCTCCCCCAGAGTGGACAAGATCACCCAAGTATGTCCCCAGAGGGCCTCTTGCCCAAGGGACAGCAGCAGCTTAGGGTCACTGCACAACCCATCTCCCTGCTCTGTGCTAGTGCTGAGTGGGACCTCAAGGCTTGGCAGGAAGCCCTGGCTGTACCTAGCACAGAGGCAGGGGTGGTCCCAAGATCCAGACGTGCCACCCAGTGGAGCCTCCTATTGTAGGGGTGGGGATCTAGGCCCTAAGCTGAAATCGACAGAACTGGGCTGGTGTCCCCAGTTTGCTGAGGGCGCTCTCATACACCAGTACTTGTCAAACCACCGCTCAGGAACCTCTGAGACTTGGACCCTGAGCCACTCCCCTGAGCAGGTGGAGCTCATGAATGGGGGTCTTAATTACAGAGCCCTCCTCGGCCCCCCAGGCTCAGGGGGAGACAGTGTTTCTGAATGTTCTGGCTGGGAAAGGAGACTGAGCTGCTGTGCGTGCGGGGACAAGGGCTCTACCCCACGCAGGGTCCCCAGAAGGTCTTAGAGAACCTTACAGAAAATAAGATGCTTTTAAGGCACATCTCCATGGCTGAGAAACGGAAGTGCATGCCATTCACACGGACACAGGCTGAAGGGACATCCTGGTGGGGGACAGAGATACAACCTCCATCTGTGACCATGGGGGCTGTCAAGGGAAGAGGAGTACCCACTGGAGCCCTGAGGGCAGGACCAGGAGGAAGGAGGCAGGCATCATCCCAGGTGGATAGAACCTGAAGCCAGTGATGCCCCAAAATGGAGGGAGACAGAAAGGATGGAGGACCCTTCTAAAAATGAGGGTGGGGAGCAGATGAGCGAGGACTGACGTTCGAGGTCACCGCGGTACCATCATGACCACGTTCAAGCAGGCATCAGTCTGCTACCAGTTCGAATGTGGCCTTAGCGAGCCTTCCTACTGCTCTGGGCCTCAGTTTCCCATCTTGAGGTAAACTGCCCTCCTGGGCCCCAGGGTCCATGTGTGGCGGGTGGGGCACTCACCGGTATGTGCTGCAGACTCGGTGCCCATCGCAGGTGGTGAGGAAGGGCTGGTACACACGCTGCACAAAGGACTCGGACACAGGGCCCTGGGGAACCCCGACGGCACACACCCTGCGGCTAGAGGTGAGGGGGCAGTGAATCAGCCAGGGACTCCCAGAGCCAGGACCCTCCCAGCCCTAGAACCGAAGGAAGCTGAGAACCTGGGGAAGGGGCTTCTCAATGTCACTGGGGAAAGACCCTCAGCAGGAGCCACAAGAAAGAGCCACAGCCCCGGAAGTATGGGGGCTGCCCAGGGGAGGGGTTGAGGGCTCACCCAGGCCTGTAGACATGCTCCGTGCCGCCCGCTGCCAGCACCAGGAACCACACCAGGAGCAGCTCCCTGCAGCCCCACATGGCCCGTGTCTGCAGGTGGGGCGGCCTTCTCCTCAGGGTGGCCTGGAGCACAAGGCATGGCACTGTAGGTCCCGCTGCAGATTCCCCATCAAGCCCATGCTCCTGGTAGAGATAGTGCCCTTCCCACAGCCCTTCCCAGCCAGATATAGCCCACCCACACGCCGCAGAGGGCAATGTCTGGGGCCCAGGAACAGAAGCCAGTGCCCTTGCTTGGGGCGAGAGGCACCCTGCCCCTGGTGGTCTTGCGCTGGGTGGACATGGAAAGCACCTGGAGCTCCAGGGCAGTTCACTGAGGCAGGTAGGGGCCCAGGGCACATCTGGATCAGCTCTCCATCACCAGCAGGGTTCAGCTCATCCTTGTCATGGTAGGGCAAGGGCACCCCTGCACCCCAATCTCAGCCTGCACATGGGGGGTTAGGGGCAGGGCTGGATCCCAGCCCAGCTGCTTGGCCCTTCTGGCCTCCAGTGTCGTCAATTTGGGAAGCCAGCCACGGGCAGTGTGGGAGGCCATCTAGGGTGTGGGCACTTGGCATGCAGAAGATGTTCTGGCCCTTGGAGGGGGTGGGGAGCCTGCATTTAGGAGGGGGGCTCCTACGCTGGGGACTGAACCAGTGTGGAGTATAGTGCAAACAGCCTCCAGGGCTCACAGTCAGCGGCCCACTGGGCACCCGCCTGGCAAGGGACTGAAGCAGCACCTGCCCGCCCCCCCCCCACACACACTGGTGGAATTAATGGCCATTCCTCTCCGGTTGGGGATGGGAACCAGGGAGGCCTGGAGAGGACTCCTGGGAATGTGAGAAGCCAAGCCCAGAATTAATGTTCTGCAACATGCCCAGGGGACTGGAGGGGTGGTCTGCACAGTACCAGGGAGCAGGGAGATGCTGTCTAACTGTGAGCCAGGGCCTGGGGAGCTCCCTGCTCCCATGCTCCTGCTGTGTCACCTGAGGCCCCCAAGGAGCTAGGGTTCCCCCACCTGCCCTGGGGACTGTCCTGGGCCCTGCAGGGCCTCCAGTAGGAAAGGGCACCGAAGGAAGCTGAAATGTGTGTTGATGGGGGGTAGAGTCAGAGTAAGGTAGTCCCCTTCTCTGGGACTCAGTTTCCTCAAAGACACCACTGGGGTCTCAGAGGCACTTCTTTTGGCTCTGCCAATCAGTCCCATAAACTGTTACTGAGCCCTCCACACCCACCAAGCCAGGCTGTGAGGGGAGGGATGCCATGTCTGGTCCGTATAGTCACTCAGCTGGGAGCTCACTCCGTGCTCTTGCCCACCTGGGCGGGGTGGAAAGGCAGCTGGAGGAGGGTCCTTCCTGCACCCCCTGTTCTCTGTGGGCCCCGAGGGGTGGGGAGGGGGCAGCTGAGGTGTCAGGACTTAGTTTGGGGGCAGGGGCCAGTCAGGGCAGTGGGAAGATGAACTCTGGGGGTGGACCCTGGGGGCAGCACACTGTGAGGGGGCAGGCCTGCTGGTTCAGGTCAGAATTGAAATGGTGGGGACAGGTGGCACTGGGGAGTAGGCCCTGGGAAGGCAGCGGTGGGCAGGCAAGTTCAGCGGCTGAGTTGGGCAGGGCCATGCCAGGGTTCGAGAGACCCTGTGCTCGTCTCCCCCTGATGTAACAGCCTTCTGCAGACACCCATTCCAGCAGCTACCCTACTTATTCAAGCTGTTTATCGAGGGAGGGATCGTGCTTTAGAAAAGAAGAAATTTTTGAAAGTCATGCCTTCCCCCTGGGCCAGAGGAAGCTGATGGCGCTGCCCAGCCTGTGCTGGGCTGGCAGAATCTCATTTCCCTTTGGTGTTGCAGCCCTGCTGGGGCCGGACAGCCAGGGCAGAGGTGGCCCCAAGCCTCCAGGTCCTAAGCAATAGTGTCCCGAGTGTCAGCGTGAGCCCTGCCCACCACCTTCCCTCCTACCTGCCTGGCCTACATCCCGAAGCCCTCACCCACAAACCCCCACCCGGGGAGGCTGGGCCTGCAGAGGGAGGGGCCTGACTGATTCAGGGAGATGGTCCTGGGTCGCCCCCTCCACGGGGGG